ATGAAAGTCATAGGTGAAAAGCGATGATACCTTTCTTGTAAAGACAAAAAATTTTATGAAAAACCAAAGGTAAAGTAAAATTTTCTGCTGTGAAAAAAGATCCAATTCCACCCAAAGCATATGCACCAAAGGGAAATCATATTTTCAGAGTAGTTAATTTGATCCATCTTTGATATTGTTATAGATAATACAATTCATTTTACCTACTAAATGGCTGCTTCTGCTGGAAAATCCGTCCCAACAGCAAACCAAGAGTTTCTCAAAAAATAATTTAATAGTGGACAAATACTAGTTTACTTTATGGCGTAATTCATACGCAAAAATATTTACTAATTGCGTTTACTGGTATGTTATTTTTGTAAATTTATTGCTTGTAATTATTGCAGAATTTTTCTAGAAAACAGATTATTTTCAGATTTATATTATATTAAGGTACAGTATTATATGGGAGCGTTTCCAGTAAAATCACATTATGGATCATATGATTTACTATGTCTCATGACTTGATTTTACTGGAAACATTCCCATATAGTATAATACGTATTAATCTAAATTTTCAATTTTAGCTTTTATCTAAAGCATTTAATATAAAAATTAATAATATTTACAACAAAAATAAAACCTTTTAAATCACAGCATATGACTGACCTATTGCGTAAAACAAAAGCAATTAACGTATCAGTTGGTATAGCAGCTATTAAAGTGCATAAGTTGATTGAATTTTTCAAATTTCTCATTGGGAAATCTTAATGAGACTATACACATAAATTATGTCACTATTATGGGTGCTTTGCGCATATTTGTAGGAAGGTAAAAAAAAAGGAAATAATTTAAAATTAATTATGTATATTACACAAATGATTAGGAATTTGGGAAAGTTACTGATAAAGCACCTTCAAAAGCATTATAAACAGGCGTGTTTTATTTAAACAAGTAACCTTATACCCCGGCTTAATGAGTTTAAAGGAGAAAGTAGTTGAGATCTAATTATGGCACACATCATTTTAAAATTCAAAATAAAGAGCTTTATTATATTATCTCGTCAATCCCTTGAATATCAGTCAGATAATGATTAAGGAAGGAGTAAAATTAAAATATAATTTATTAAATGTTCAAATTGAAATTTCAATTTTAGAAAATGATGCAGAATTTAAAAACTAGAATATCTAAATGCTATTTGAATTACATTAAATCATATTTTCCAAAATTTGAAATACTTCGTAATCATCTATTATGAAATCTTCTGTATCTCTTATCCTTTTTTCATATCTTGTTTGCTTGCAATAAGTAGAATTATAATCATTTTCTACTTTAGAACTTCCTAATAAAAGATCATTACTAAATGCAAGGCCGAGCGTACCGGAATAATCTACTGCTTTTGCGATATTTTTAATTTCCACATGGCTTAAAATTGAATCCCCAAAATTATCCTTATTCTTAAAAGAAAATATGAAACTATCCTTCGTTTGACCATTATCACTTCTATAAGGTGACTTCCATATTAAAGGATTATATCCTCCTAGAATCTCTTCTGTTCCATTTACTTTGATGAATGTAACAGTATAAGGTATATTATCACATAATTCATGAAATTTTTTAGGAGTAAATCCATCTCGGCTTCCTCTTAATAATAATTTGAATTTATATGGTAAATACTGTTCTCTCAAATAAGTAAAGTTGCTTTTAATTTCTAACTTGTCAATCCATCTAGAAATTATGGAAACAATATTTAAATTAATGATTCTTGTATCAATGATTCTATCAACATTTCTATATCTAGGAAGTGAAATATCATTACTTGGTTTATTATTAGGATCTAAATGTGAATTTAATAAGCCTTCATATAATTGTTTTTTCAAAAGCTTTTTATATGGATGAACATTTTTGATGAATTCTTCAGAAGATAAACTGAAAAATCTAATAAATGGTAAATAAATTTGCAAGGTATATTTCATCATTTTGAAATCATCATCTGACCAAGTCAAGGGATCCGGTAAAAGATTGGGATGTTTTTCAAGTCCCAATTTTAAAACATGCTTCCAAACTTCAACTTCTTTCATTTGTAAATCATCCCTTTTAATAAGTGAAATTAAAGTTTTTTCAGGAAGCGAAGTCAAGTCAAGCTCCTTTTCCGGCGATTTAGCTATTACTGATATACAAAAGTTTTGAAGTTCTAGAAAGGAATTAGATTGAATGCTTGTTTTATAAACAAGTTCAAAATTTTGTTCCATAATTCCATCATATTTTTCTATTGGATATTTTTGTAAATATTCAACCAATTCTTGAAGATAAAGCTCATCAGCAACACGCATTATTTTTAAAGTGTTTAAAAGGTCTTGTTCGTCTAATGATATGATCCCACCATAAATATATCTATATTAAAGAAAAGGATAAATTTAATTTTAATATTAAAAAAATGCAACATACTTGATTATTCAACTTACTTCAATATCAATTGAAAGTCTTCTGGTGAAATATTTGGTAATTTAATGCTCGTTAGGATCCCTTCATTATTCTTTTTATTTGCCAAACTACATCAGAAATATGAGAATGGTAGCACAAAATAAGCATGTACGCGCGGAATATTTTAACATTTGGATCTTTTCCAACTTTAATTGTGATATCATAAAATTCGTCATCATCTAACATTTCGATATAATTTTGACTTAATTTGTGAAAAAGTTGTGAAGACATTTTAAAAAATCCTCGAAATACAGTATATTTTAATTTTAAATAAAAAATTAGGAAAGAAAAAATTTTATTTATGATGAATTTTATTTATGATGTAATGATGATCGATTTATGTGATTTTTCATTCAACAAAAAAAACCCGATATAGAATAGACTAGTTTGCAACAATTTGATTCATAAACGCAACTTTTCAATCAACAAATGACATCATCTTTTTTATCTTGAATGTCTCATAATATCTGTGTTTATTTCAAGAGCCTACAGTTTTTGGAAATTCTCTTGAATATGGTGAATTCAATGGAAAATTTCAAAAAAAAAAATGATTATTGGTGCTTTTGGATGCTGTAATCGTAAGTATTTAGAGAAATTATATGTATATCTTTCACTAAATGTTAAAAGAGTACCGACCTTCTAAATCGTATAATTGTGTGAAATTTAAAAAAGAACTCTTAAAAATAAGCTAGAGTACCAAAATTTTAGGTGAATAAAAAAGCTTAAATACAATAATTCTTAATGTAGTATCATCAGGCTTTTGATGGTTCTCTTCACTTTGTTATTTTATTTATCTTGTTTGAAATATCTTAAATTGTAAACAAAATAAACTTTTTTCGATACCTTGGGACTAGGGATCGGAATCGAAAGTCGGAAAATCGCCAAAGTCTGAAATTGATTTTGCTTGAATCTCAAACTTGGCAAAATCGTTTAATGATAAATGATAACATTTTTGAATCAATTTTCATTAGTCCGATTCTTGATTCTGAAATTCATTTTGTGTATCATGTCCTTTAAATAATTAATAAAGTGAATCAACTAAATTTATTTTGTGAAAAATCTAATATATTGTTAAATGTAACATTGCCTCAACAATATTTTCACATGATAACAACATCTTGTGAAACTGAATTTTGTTTAAACATTTTTTATTTTAATGATTATAATACAATTATTTTTTATAAAAGTTTGACAACTGCCAATACTTAAATTAAAAAATTTAATACCGATTTTGATTTTAATTGCTGAATCAATTTTGATTTTTGAAACGATTACATATAATATAGTTTTGAGTTTTTATTAGTAAATACAAATTTTCATTAAATGGTGATAATATAAAGTAAATAGATTTCGAAATTAAATCAAAATATTTTTATTAATCGAAATTAGGCAAATTATTGTTATATTCTTAGATTAAATATATCCATAGTTACGTAAAACGTGCCAATCTACAGCATCATACAAATTTCTTTAGTTTAACCTTATAACGATAAAGATTATTTTTTTATATACTTTAATTTTCCAATTCTGTAAAGTTTAAAAATTTTCATTTGAATTTTTATTAAATTAGATATGTTCTTATCATTACTTGAGTTTTTTATTCTTTCGTTATTACTAATAATATTAAACATTTTTAATTTATCTTGTGATTTGTGATTTGTAGTTTTGTGGTTTATAAATTATTGAATTAGATTGGGAAAAAGTAGACTTATATTTTTAGTCGTTTCATTTTTCGGATAACTTTATATAGCGACTTTTAGAAAAAGGTTATTTTGCCGATTTAAATTTTGATCAACTTTTTTTTTTCGAATTACACATTTTTTTGTTAGATTGTTACGAATAATTCATATTTTTTTTTTATGACAAATTTATAACACTATTCATACATTGAAGTTGTTCTTGATTCTCACAACTCAATTGGTGTCATATGGTGTAGTCTGACATTGATGATTTTGATACATCTTCATTTCATCATTGTAATGTCGCTTACTGCTATTTGGCACGCTTGTCGTTCTGTTATCTAGATCATTAGAAATTATTTTACTGGTAACATTATTACCGATGAACTTAATGAAAAAATGACGAAAACAAAAATCATTCCGTAAACAGTTGATGTATATTGGACCTCAGGTAAGTGAAATCTAAGTTCATTGCAAGATTCATACATAATGTGACTCATCATTCTTATAATGAAGCTAAATGAAGGAAAATAAATCACACAACACAAATTTTAGTTGATACAATTGATACAATTGGTTGTTTATATGCGTGGAATATGGTTATGGTTACATTGTTCTAAGAAAATGTTAACAAAAGAAAGAATTTTATTCAATAAAAAAACTCGTGCTATATACATTTAACTATGCCAGGTCGCAGTATTTAATTCTTATAAATAGAATAATAATAAATTTAATAATAAATAAATCAGAAAACCCTTTACTATTACTATTAAGAGAAAAAAATTGAATAGAGTTGTAAATATTTGTCAATAATTAAATTATAAATAGTAAAATTATAACTTCCGTTGTGAATATTTACTAAATTTCTTTTACATTTAAATTAATATCAATATCAATTTCTCTGGATAAATATTCTAAATATATATACAGTATATAATAAACATTAGTTTATAAATTGTGAATAACAATGAAATGTTACGTAAAAATCATTACCTTCATTAGATTCATTAATATTCACAGTATTCGCATTAATATCTATTTCCAATTCTTTTGTTAAATAATCTAATAAATATAGAATAAGACTATTATTTAAATATTAATGTTCGGGAAAGTAGAAGACCGATAGCTATGTTCTAATATTTATGAACATTAGAAATATGCGAAAATATGGGTGACCGGCTATTAAAATCACCTTACGAACATAGTAAATCATATGATGCATAAGGTGATTTTAATAGCCGGTCACTCATATATACCCGTCGTAAGTAATAAATATTATAAAAAAGTAAGAAAATAGTTATCATAATTTGACAATATACTTTTTTTATTTCCTTTGTTTTCGTTATTTAAATCATCAGTAGTACTTTTATCTTTATTTTACAAAAAAAAAAGATAAAAATATCATTATTAATAATATTTAAAATTTAAAAAATGATCATAAATAAATATATTACCATTAAAAGATAGATCATGTTTTTGATAATAAACAAATGGATCTAAACAATTCAATAAAATTCCCATTAATTTCTTTTTTTAATCAATGTAAATATAAACTAAAAAAGAAAGTTATTATAATTACCTAATTCTGTAACGGATTGACTTCTTGAGAGTATTGCAGATCTTATCACATTGCTTAATGATCTACTTTTATAGATTGCTTCTGAATGATTCGTGGCTACGGGCCCAATTTCTGAAGATGATATGATATTTGTTGCTTTATTATTATAAAAATTATTAATTTCAATAGATATCATACTATCAACTACTTCTTTTAAATAATTAGCGGTTGGCCTTTTATTTGGATCAGAATGCCAACATTTTTCCATTAATTCAATATAACCTTCAGGTGCATTTGTAACAATTGGAGGTCGTATATTATCACATATTCTAATAATAAGATGTGTATCATGATCATGATCCCAAAAAGGCCTTCTACCAGTCATTAACTCCCACATAATCATACCAAGACTATAGATATCTGAGGCTGTAGTATAATCTTGTCCATGAAAAACCTCTGGAGCCATATAAGGAATAATACCATAAATTTTATCACCATTATTATCATTATTATCAGTTAATTCATTTGAGGATTTGCTAATTCCTAAATCACCAATTAGTATTTTACGATCTTCACAACAAAGAATATTCCCACTATGAAAATCCCGATGAATAATTCCTTTATTATGAATATATTCAAGACCTTTAATAATTTTTTTCAATAAATCTAACTTATCCCACCACTTAATATCATAAAAATTTTCTGTTAGAAAACGTCTTAAATCACCTAATTTACAATAATGCATGATAATCACATAATCTTTTGAAATAGGATCGTGAGAAATTCCATAATATTTATTTATATAATCAGGTATAAGAGAACCAATATTAAGATCCAAATAAATCCAAAGCTAAATTTATTATGATGTAAAGTAAGTATATATATCGCAATAAAAAATGTTATTAAATTAAATCAATACCTCATTTAACTCCTTTGTAGAAATATTTTTAGAATTAGTTAATTGCTTCAGGGCAACTGATATATAACCTTCCTGTGCATTCCACCATGTAGCTCTATAAATTTTACTAAATCCCCCCTCAGCAATAAACTGAATATTTTTGAATTGATCATAAGAAGCAAATTCCATTTTACTAAATATTTGAGTATTACTTCGTGAATATCTGATAAATTCGTCGACAACTTTATTTCCACTTTCTTTGGGAAGTATTCCCCATTCATGACATTTGATACATTCATTATACATTTTAATACAAATTTTACAAATCCACAAATTATCTATGGAGGATCTTCCCCATTCATAACATTCATCACACTTCATCGATTGCTTTATTCGTTGAGATAAATTTGTCAATTGTTGACATATATCACATTTTTTAAATAGTTTAAGTTCCATTAAAGTATTAGGTAAAGTTGGTAGAGTGGTTATCAAAGTATCAGAGCAATCAAGTTTCATTAAAGTGTTGGGTAAAGTTGGTAGGGTAGTTATTAGAGTATTGTAGCAATAGAGTTCTATTAATGAGTTGGATAAAATTGGTAATATAGTTATTTGAGTATTATAGCACCTAAGTATCGTTAAAGTGTTGGGTAAAGTTGATAATGTAGTTATCGGAGTTTTAGAGCAATTAAGTATCGTTAAAGTGTTGGGTAAAGTTGGTAATGTAGTTATCAGAGTATTAGAGCAATAGAGTTCCACTAATGAGTTGGATAAAGTTGGTAATGTAATTATTTGAGTATTAAAGCACCTAAGTATCATTAAAGTGTTGGGTAAAGTCGGTAATATAGTTATCGGAGTATCAGAGCAATAGAGTTCCACTAATGAGTTGGGTAAAGTTGGTAATGTGGTTATCGGAGTATCAGAGCAATAGAGTTCCACTAATGAGTTGGGTAAAGTTGGTAATGTAATTATTTGAGTATTAAAGCACCTAAGTATCGTTAAAGTGTTGGGTAAAGTCGGTAGGGTAGTTATCAGAGTATTGTAGCAATAGAGTTCTATTAATGAGTTGGATAAAGTTGGTAATATAGTTATTTGAGTATTAAAGCATCTAAGTATCGTTAAAGTGTTGGGTAAAGTTGGTAGGGTAGTTATCAGAGTATTGTAGCAATAGAGTTCCACTAATAAGTTGGGTAAAGTTGGTAGGGTAGTTATCAGAGTATTAGAGCAATTAAGTATCATTAAAGTGTTGGGTAAAGTTAGTAATGTAGTTATCGGAGTTTTAGAGCATCTAAGTATCATTAATGTGTTGGGTAAAGTTGGTAGGGTAGTTATCAGAGTATTGTAGCAATAGAATTCCACTAATGAGTTGGGTAAAGTTGGTAGGGTAGTTATCAGAGTTTTAGAGCAATTAAGTATTGTTAAAGTGTTGGGTAAAGTTGGTAATGTGGTTATCGGAGTATCAGAGCAATAGAGTTCCACTAATGAGTTAGGTAAAGTTGGTAGGGTAGTTATCGGAGTATCAGAGCAATAGAGTTCCACTAATGAGTTGGGTAAAGTTGGTAGGGTAGTTATCGGAGTATCAGAGCAATTAAGTATCGTTAAAGTGTTGGGTAAAGTTGGTAGGGTAGTTATTATAGTATGAAAACAACTAAGTTTTGCTAATTTTCGATATCTTAACAATCCACCTAAAGCATTTAATATGTCATCCTTATTAAGATTCGTAATCGTTAAACTATCGATATTCGATTTTAAATCTTCTGCAACTTTCTGTTTAAAATTTTGAATTGTTCGAGATAATTCTCTATGAGATGAATTGTTACTACCGGAAAAAGGGTTAGCAGCATTCAAGTGAAGTTGTTGCACAGATAATTGAAATTTTGATTCTTCATTATTCATTTGATTATGATAATTTATATTTGTTTTTGTAATAATTGCATATAATTCATAAACCACTTTGATCATGGCTGGACGATTGTCCGGCTCATTATCCCAACAATCTAAAATCATGTAAAAAATTTAAAATACGTAAACATAGAATTTTTATACTAATTAAATTTCAGATAATTTATTTACCAATATAAATTTTTTCATAATCTTCAGGTGTATCAGGAACGATTCTTTCTCTAAGTCTTTGTGTGATTTCAATAGCAAAACCAATGTTATATACTTCACCTTCATTGAAAGGTGGAGTTCCACTTGATAGCTCCCACAAGAGCACGCCAACACTGTAAACGTCACTTTTTTCGTATAGTTTATATTGTTGCGATGTATTGTCATTATTTCTCCCTTTAATAAAACTTTTAGGGTCAATATAAGGAATAACTTTGGACTGATTAGTTGCTGATTCAATCCTTTTTGATAAACCAAAGTCTGCTAGTTTAATAACGCCTTGATGAATTAATATATTGCCTGAATGCTATTCACATACATATAAAAAAATTATATTATTTAATTACCAAAAAAATTGTTCATAAATAACAAAATTAAAAAATAAGGTTACCAAATCAAGATGTACGATTCCTTTGTCATGTAAACAAGATACAGCATAAGCCAACTGGAATGCCAAGTTGTACTTATCTCCCCAAGAAAGCTTATCAAAATTAAGCTTCAAATAGTTTCTAAGCGTTCCACCATCAGCATATTCCATTACTAACAAATAATTATTCAATTCATTTTGATCTAATTTTTATTTTTGCAAAAAAAAATATTAAATTTTTAATTAGTTAAAAATAAAATATTAAATTTTTAATTAGTTAAAAATAAAATATAAAAAAAGATAAAACTGAAATTCACTCATCATTTAAAGATTTTTACCTTGATTTGATGATGATATCCCCAAAAAGCGAATGGTATTGCTATGAAAACCAACTTCCCGTTGAAGTTCAAACTAAATAATTATGAATTTAAATTATATAAATGAATTTATACTAAATAGACAAAAATAGACTGAGATACAAATTGTATCTTAATTACCTCATAAAGAAGTTCTTTAACAGTGGCCTTGTTAAAGTTATGAAATGGTTTTAACGCAAGATGTTGCTGCGAACTTTTCCAATTTGCACGATAGACTTTTCCAAAGCTACCCGAACCTAGCTTTTGAAAATTGCTAAAATCTTTGTATTCATAGAATTTTATATTATTACTTAAAATATATTCTTCAATCAAATTAATACACTCATTTAAATTATTTTCAGTTTGCATTTTGTTTTATTTTATAGCGTCGCAAAGAAAAGTGATAAAATTTGGAGAAAAGACACTTGGTAGATCATGCAAATTTCTTGGCTATTTATTTCGATCAACACGTTACAACTCTTATTCAAACCTTCAAAAGTAAATATTGTGAAATTTGTGTGACAATAAAAAAATCTTCAAAAAATAAAATTATATAAAATACAATTTAAACAAATATATAAAGCTTCTAAAATAACAATAAATTTATGATGTTACAACTGCATCGTTTCTCTTATCATGAATCATCAATGCGGCGTTTTTATTAATATCAAAGGAGCATTTGTATCTACTAATTAACATATTATCTCATCGACCAAAATCAGTTACACAAAATCGATAGATACGTTTATCATCGCTAAATGACGAAATCTTGAAGCTTTAAACAAATGACGAAGTCGAAAAATTAATTCGTATTATTATCATGAAAAATTCGACTCCCAATATTCTGATTAATTTATGTGTATCGAGACCTAAAGAGAAGCCAAATTTAATTGAAAGATTCTAATAAAAAATATTAATTGCATTGCTCGCTTATGAAGGATATTTTTTTTTATGAATAATTAATTTTCGAATAAAAAAAAATTAATGTGATATTTCTTGGGGATTTAATTAAAACCCAAATTTCTTTTTATTCTAAATTTTTTTTTTGATTCACAATATATGTATATTTATGAGGGCATAACATAACATTTAATTAAAACCTGCTGTCGCAACATTTTATAATATAATGATGTTTATTTCTGTATATTAAAATCTTTATCATTTCAAGCTAATAAATTTTATGTTTCATGCATGAAACCATATTAATAAACTGTATTAAAAATCGAATCGTTGCACTAATTATTTATAATTATTGAAGTATTTTTAATCTATCAATGGCAACAAGTGAGTGCTTGGTTTAGTTTTCTACATTCCCTTAGATATTGTTAAAAGTCTGATATATAATTCGTTAATACAATTTAGCAAAATTAAATAAATTCTTCCAAAACATTTATAATTTAATTTATTCAAACTAACCTTTATTACATAATGAATCTTTATATTTTGTTTTATTGAACATGCAAGTTACCAGATCGTTATTGAATTAATGTTCTATCGATAAAAAAATTTATGACAACGTTATATATTTAGTTAATTTTAATATAATTTATTCTTTTAAGGTTAATATACAACAGAATGTTTTAATGATAAAGATTAATCATTATTTGCCATATTTTGTATTTAGCAAAATCTTTTCAATGTAAAATTATTATGTTAAATTTCTAAAAAAAAAAAAATAAAGAAAAGAAAAAAAGACGTTCCCTGCGTATCAACCTTTCGTTATGTTAAGAAAGAGTCTATTTCACTATAAGTTTACTGTTGACTTTATTTTGTTACATAGAATACAAGGAGTGCAGCTGGCTAAGTATTTTTTATAAACTTTTTAAGATTAAACATTTGTGGCTCGGCTATTTACGACATAAATGTGTTTAGTATATTTCGCCTATTTCTTCTATTGCTTTGGTTATGAAAAATAAGACATATTTGTTATTCTTTCGCATCGCAGCACATTCTCTTTGTATCTTTATCACGTACTCTGCACATTACTGAGCACGGCTATAAGTACGATATGGATTTTCGGCATAAACTGGCACTGCACTGACAATTTACTGAGCTCAAAATTAATTTTAATTCATAATGTTGAAAACTGCATCTCTTTGCTATTCAAGTATAGTAGCTTCGAAATTATCAAAATTTAACTAATCTTACTAGTTAAATATTTGTTCTTTTCAAAAATATTTGTTAAATTTAAGTATCTTGCTATTTATAATGAGTTTGGGAATCGCTGTCTTCGAATCAGCGCCTCATCCGTCGTAGTGAAGTTATATTCTTATTAATAATTACGTAAAAATTAACTTATTTAAATTATTAAATTCTTAAAAATAACATAATTTTATAAAGCAGAATGACTTTAGTGAAGACATTTTTTTTATAGTCTTGATAATAAATGATCATCTTTCCTTCATAAAGAAGTCATCATGAATAATATCAAGGCGTTAAGTCTTACCTGAAAATATATATTTTCTTGGAGATAAGCAAAAATATAGATCAATAATCCTTATTCATAAATATTATTTAGTTAATAAAAGAAGAATACTATGAACAAATGATTCAGTCTATAGTTGTTATACTATCTGGAATGCCCAGTACTAGTAAAACATTTTTTGCTTTATTTCTTTATTTATATTCGAAATAAATATCTTCATTCAATAATACCTACTGTTTCTGAAGTAAATACTATCTGAATATATAATAAAATGTATAGACGTATGGGTCATCTAAAAGGCAAAAAGTATGAATTTTTTTTGCTGACCATAAATACCGGGGGAGGAAAAAGTATTGCATTGCACAGTTTTGATTTAAATATTTTAGTTAATTTATCATATGTAACTAAGCCATATTTTTAATAACACATTGATTATTGATTTTATTGATTACACAAATAAAATACTTTTATTATAGTTTGAATTAATATGTTTCAATTCATAAAATTGAATTTGAAAATACTTCCAAAGTTTGTTTTAGCGCAAGTGATAGTATAATTAAAGGACTTATCTTTTAGAAAAAAAGGCATAATTACAGCAAAAAAATTGGGTTCAGTAACTCAGAAATCATAAATATTATAGGATGTAGTTATACAAATGTTATTTGGTTTCTTTTGCAAGAGAAACATCCAAATAGCTAAATATCGAATCCTATAGCGAAGCTTAGCATATACGATAAATTGGAAGTAATATGTTTTTAAATTTTCGATTTTACACCTTGCAATGCTTTAATTTTAACAATTATTTAAATATTTTATTAAGCATAAGCTAAACAATATGTTACTAAAAAATATGATTTAGTTACATATTATAAATTAACTAAAATATCTAAATCAAAACTGTGCAATATTTTTGTCCTCCCCATTATATCATATATTTTTTATCCAATTAAAATCATCTCGTAAATTAAAATTGTCTTATGATTAAATATCAAACCATCAATTTATTGATTTATCAATTATATATTATATAAAGCAGATTTAATTAAAGTATTATAAAAGTGAATATAACCTTTACTTTATAACTTTAGATTTTATTATAAATACAATATTTACCTACAAAGTTTCATATAAGCATATTTATTTCATTAGACAAGATTAATGTCACATGAAAGATTGCAAGTCCAAAATTTAAGTATTTTATAAAAAAAATTGCCAATTTCAAATGCTTAAAACTCAAAAATTTTCTAATTAACTATAGATTTAAAACTTCAACTTTTTATTCTCTATTGTTTATATTATTATTATTACAGTAATTTTTCTTTATATCATGTAAAATTAAAGTTTTATGATTTTAAAGTTAAACAATTTTTTATTTATAGATAATCTGCATTATAGTCAATTCTAGATTTATAATTTATATTTTCTTATTTATTTAAAAAGCACTGCAATAAAAATGATTGATAAAATTTCTTATAGTTAATTTCATAATTCTTAGACCACTAATAAATTCAAACTGAATGTGATTGTTTGTGACTAAAAATATTATACTAAAAATATTATGACTGAATGTGACTAAATATTATTAAAAAATTATTAATAGTTCAGAAATTATAAAATAGCTGTAATATAATAAAAATGTAAAAATAATAAACTAAAATTATAAAAATAGTTTTTTATAAATAAAAACTATTTATTTAATTGCTGAATTTATATTTAATTTTATTTGAATTTTTTGAATTTAAAATATAAAATTTAATAATTTTATATTTATTTATATAAAAACATTAAAAAGGTAAATCTTTTTAATAAAACTATTGTTTATTAAATAAGGATTTAATTATATCACTTAACTTATAAGTTATCAGATAAAATTACTTTTATTAATTTTTACTAAAAAGTAAAATAGAATAAAGAAATCAAAGAAATCATAACCAATTATTTGATATATTATATAATTATTACAAATTCTATCTTATTGATATATAAGTTTTGAAAAACAAGAAACTTATATTTTTCATTTAAAATTACTAAAGAAAAAAAAATCTAATAAAGAAATGAAATCACCAAATTTATCATATATATTATACCATTCTATAATCAACAAAAAATATTCAAACTTTAATTTAAAATATACAAGAATAAGAAAAATAGCAATGAATAAGAATTCTTATTTCAAATAGTTAAGATTTTATTAAATAAGTAAAATCTAATTCCTAAATTCATACTTTCAAAGTAAACTAATAAAGTTTATTATAATAGCTTGATAATATTATAGTCAGCTCTTATAATCACTTAAAAGTTAAAAGTATGATAAGGTAAGAAGAAAGTATGTATAAGTTTTATAAGTAAATTATAGATTGAGTTAAAGAAATGATCATTTATTTAATGTATATTAACAAATAAATATTACTTCAATTAGCATTCTATACTATACAAATATTTTATATTAAACTAAACTATAAGTCTATTTTTATATACTAAAATACTAAGATACTATTCACTATTTTAAGACTCTAGGTATATTTATATAAAAATAATTACATAAAGTATTTGAAGATACAGTCGACCCTCTCTACTATCACACCTCTTATGACCAAAAATAAAAGGTGTGACTATAGTGAAAAGTGACTATATAGAAGGATTTTTTATAGTATTACTAAGTATTGGTTCCAAAATGATGTGA